TGCACGAGTTCACATGCAAACAAGGAACGAGAAGCTCAATATTGAACCTCGAGTTCCTTGCTTGTGAACGAGTGCATGTAAAACCCGATAATACATAAACAAAGAGTGCTTTAATGCTTTTAATATTCATTTGAGTAAACTCATAATGAGTTTATATCATTTTTAAACTTCATTAAACAACACATGCTTACCTTTAAATACCTAAAACACCCCAAGCCGGTTTTCCCGTTTAGAATTTTTCTGTGTTGATTCATCTATAATTACATTAATTTCCTCTAAACTAAGTTCGGCAATTTTTTTGTTTGTTGCCGCCATTTTGATAGTGCAATAAATCCTATAACGGCACTGCCGTGGCGTTGTTGTTATATAACATTCACTCACGTGGTACAATTTGACCAATCAGGAAGGCGTAAGTTTACAAAAAATGAATATTAAAATGACTTAATATTTTGTTTTTAACGTTTGTTTGTGCCATAACTTTGGAAACACTGTGTCAGTGTCAGCGTAATGTTTGATTGCAAATAATATCACTGTTGTAAATTAAAGAAAATATAGCCATGCGGAGTTGACAAATTTTGTATACTTTTGCATTACGGCCGGAAGTGTAAAACACATTCCCTCACGTCGTTGCAAACGCAAGTAGTCCTTTATCATGAAAACAGTCTTAGTCTGCTAAAATTAGTCGGCAGGGTGCCTGCTGCATGTTGCTTTACATTGTTATGAAAATTATTGCTACCATTCTTCTATTCACAACAAACACAACGAAGCTAAATCTCGAAGTGAAATTTTACTTTTGAAAGGTAACCTAAATATTAAATGCTTTGCAACGGTCATTTTCTAGGACAGACATTAATAATATACTGACAGACATGAATAATAACTTATTTTGTTTTAACGTTTGTTTGGCATACGCCAAGTTTATTTAAGGTAATGTCATGGATCACAATCATAAAACGATAATTTGATAGTCAAAAGTATCATTATAAATTCCCGTTGTGCCATAACTTTGGAAACACTGTTTCAGTGTGTCGTAATGTTTGATTGCAAATAATATTATTGTTGTAAATTAAGGAAAATATAGCCATGCGGAGTTGACAAATTTTGTATACTTTGCGTTACGCCCGGAAGTGTTATAACACATTCCCTCACGTAATACAAAAGTATAAAAAATTTGCCAACTTCGCATTGCTATATTTCCAGCAATTTTAAGAATTTCGCGGCCAAACTTTGCATTTGCACTAATTTAAGTACACTCTTTCTAGTTCTCGTAGTTTATTTCCCTCCTGTTACTCCTATCAAAATTTAGTCTAAAGCGCAAGTCGTCCTTTATCATGCATTAAAAAAAGTCTTAGTCTGGAATTTTTGTTCTCGGCGAAGCTAATATAGACACCTTATAGGATATAACAACACCAACTGTAACGGCAACGGCTGGTGTACAATAATATTCATGTCTCTGCTCGGTGCTGGTGAGATAATGAAAAATTCCATAAATATAGCTCTAAATCGAAATTTCCCGAACTGCCTACGCTTGGGCGATTTATACTTCCCAATATGCCGATAGCGTATCTGAGCGTATCCATCATTAGTTCCTTAATTTATGACTCGGAATATTTTGTGACCAGTTCCCCTAAATGTATATAGTATTATTATACAGTGGTTAATAAAATATAGCTACCAAAGGGAAGGAACTTAAATTAGTCGGCAGGGTGCCTGCTGTTGTTTTACATTGTTCTGAGAACTATTGCTACCATTCTTCTATTCACAACAAACACAACGAAGCTAAATCTCGAAGTAAAATTCTACTTTTGAAAGGTAACGTAAATATTAAAGCTTTGCAACCGTCATTTTCTAGGACAGACATTTGTTAGGCATACGCCGCTATATATACGTGCTTTGAAATAACTTATTTTGTTTTAACGTTTGTTTGGCATACGCCAAGTTTATTTAAGGTAATGTCATGGATCATAATCACAAAACGATCATTTGATAGTCAAAAGTATCTTTATAAATTCCTTGTGCCATAACTTTGGAAACACTGTTTCAGTGTGTCGTAATGTTTAATTGCAAATAATATCATTGTTGTAAATTAATGAAAATATAGCCGTGCGGAGTTGACAAATTTTGTATACTTTTGCATTACGGCCAGAAGTGTTTTAACACATTCCATCGCGTAATACAAAAGTATAAAAAAATTGTCAACTTCGCATTGCTATATTTGCCACAATTTTAAGAATTTCGCGGCCAAACTTTGCATTTGCACTAATTTAACCACACTCTTTCTAGCTCTCGTGGTTTATTTCCCTCTTGTTACTCCTATCAAAATTTAGTCAAAAGCGCAAAGGTCGTCCTTTATCATGAAAACAGTCTTAGTTTGGAATTTTGGTTTTCGGTGAAGCTAATATATAGACACCTTATAGGATATAACAACACCAACTGTAACGGCAACGGCTCGTGTACAATAATATTCATGTCTTTGCTCGGTGCTGGTCAGGTAATGAAATATTCCATAAATATAGCTCTAAATCGAAATTTCCCGAACTGCTTGCGCTTGGGCGATTTATACTTCCCAGTACATGCCGATAGCGTATATCTGAGGGTATCCATCATTAGTTCCTTAACTTATTACTCGGAATATTTTGTGACCAATTCCCCTAAATGTATATAGTATAATAATACAGTGGTTAATTAAACATACCAAGGGCATGGAAGTGAAATTAGTGGGCAGGGTGCCTGTTGTTGCTTTACATTGTTCCGAAAATTATTGCTACCATTCTTCCATTCACAACAAACACAACGAAGCTAAATCTCGAAGTAAAATTCTACTTTTGAAAGTAAACCTAAATATTAATGCTTTGCAACAGTCATTTTCTAGGACAGACATTAGTTATAAATACGCCGCTATATACGTGCTTTAAAATAACTTAATATTTTGTTTTAACGTTTGTTTAGCATACGCCAAGTTTATTTAAGGTAATGTCATGGATCATAATCATAAAACGATAATTTAATGGTCAAAAGTTTCTTTATAAATTCCTTGTGCCATAACTTTGGAAACACTGTGTCGGCGTGTCGTAATGTTTGATTGCAAATAATATCATTGTTGTAAATTAATGAAAATATAGCCATGCGGAGTTGACAAATTTGGTATACTTTTGCATTACGGCCGGAAGTGTTATAACACATTCCCTCACGTCGTCGCAAGCGCAAGTTGTCCTTTATCATGAAAAAAGTTTTAGTCTGGAATTTTGGTTCTCGGCGAAGCTAATATAGACACCTTATAGGATATAACAACACCAACTGTAATGGCAACGGCTCGTGTACAATAACATTCATGTCTCTGCTCGCGGTGCTGGTGAGATAATGAAATATTCCATAAATATAGCTTTAAATCTAAATCGAAATTTCCCGAACTGCTTGCGCTTGGGCGATTTATACTTCTTAATATGCCGATAGCGTATCTGAGCGTATCTATCATTATAGTTCTTTAATTTATTACTCGGAATATTTTGTGACCAATTCCCCTAAATATATATATAGTGTAATAATACAGTGGTTAATAAAATATACCAAAGGCAAGGAAGTGAAATTATTCGGCAGGGTGCGTGCTGTTGCTTTACATTGTTCTGAGAATTATTTCTACCTACCATTCTTTTATTCACAACAAACACAACGAAGTAAAAGTGTAAAGTAAAACTTTCGAAGTAAAATTCTGCTTTTAAAAGGTAATCTAAACATTAATGCTTTACAGTCATTTTCCAGGCCAAACATTAGTCAGCATACGCCGCTATATACGTGCTTTAAAATAACTTATTTTTTGTTTTGACGTTTGTTTATCATACGCCAAGTTTATTTAAGGTAATGTCATGGATCATAATCACAAAACGATCATTTGATAGTCAAAAGTATCTTAATAAATTCCTTGTGCCATAACTTTGGAAACACTGTTTCAGTGTGTCGTAATTGTTTATTACAAATTAATAATATCGTAATGGACGACTTGCGCTTTAGACTAATATCTCACCTAGGCGATAATGAGGAAATATTCGGAAAGAGCATAATATTAATTATATTGAAATTAGTAAAACTTCCAATTTTGGCTGCGAATTGTTGTAAATTACAGAAAATATAGCCATTCGGAGTTCACAAATTATGTATACTTCTGTATTACGGCCGGAAGTGCATAACACATTCCCCGACGTATTTCCACAGGTAACGTATAAGTAGTAAAAAAATTGCCGACTTCGCATTGCTATATTTGCAGCAATTTTCAGAATTTCGCGGCCAAACTTTTCATTTGCACTAATTTAAGTACACTCTTTCTAGCTCTCGTGGTTTATTTCCCTCTTGTTACTTCTATCAAAATTTAGTTGTCCTTTATCATGAAAAAAGTCTGGAATTTTGGCGGTATGTCAAGCGTTGGCGTTTTAGAATGTTCGGTTTGCCGTTGTATACAAAACGTGCGCAGTGTTTAAACTCTCTTGAACTTTGTAGCACTCATTTTAGTCTGATGTGCTGGTTCATGAATACTATTGTACACGAGCCGTTGCCGTTACAGTTGGTGTTGTTATATCCTATAAGGTGCCTATATTAGCTTCGCCGAGAGCGATACTGAAGAATATTTAATTATATATTCCCTAAAAAAATTACAAATTCCTTAATAAAGATAAATTTCTTAACAAATCTGGAAGCTTAGGCTTATCATGTGATGAAGTGTAAATTTATTGGAATATCCGGATGGAACGATCCTTTTCCTAATGGTCATAGTTATACAAAATTATTTTTCATTAACAAAATTTGGACATTTTCGAGTTTGAGGTAATTCCAATCAATAACTTTTAAAGTGTTGAATAATAAACAATCTCTGGGCAGTTTAGACATATTATATGGGCAACTTCAGATCGTCTTTCTGCATGGTATATAGGACTTGGTGCCTAGCACTCTCCAGCTCAGCCACAAGAATATAAACTTCTGGTTGTTTATATTTTTGTTTTTCCTAGAAATAAAAGTGATCGATACTCCTTATGGGTAATCAATGGTTTCTCTACTTTCTTTTGTTCACTTTAGGTAAGTTACGTTAAACCACGTAAAGCAGGGTTTAATCATAATTTATTGATTGCATCCAAATTAATTGGAGTCACGATACAAAATTATTAGAAATTGAACTAAAATTCGATTAATATTATTTGCACATCTGCCAAAGACTTTTCGTCTTTCAATAGACGAGTTCTCGTATAAATTTTTTCAGGAGAAAGTGGCTATCGCATGAATAAATGTGAAACATACCGTTTAATTTGCGTCAGAAACTAAAACTGCATGCTGTGGCTAGCTGATAAAGTGACCATTTCAACTTTTAGCACTACTGTGTGATCCTAATACTTTTGTGTTGCATAATAATTATAATACGTTCCCTGTCCGACAATCGTCTTTTAGCCACAACGGGAGATCCATTATACATATTGGCAGACTGCTATAAGCTTGCTTTTTAGTATATAAAGCCTATTTTCCACTTGGCGGTATTTTGGGCGCAGAGCGGAGTTTTTCTCACATAAGTTCGTTGAGCGTTGACAGTAAAAAAGTCCGCTCCGTCCATCTCCATAACACGTTTGTCCGCATACAAAGACAATAACCCAACCATTCAACCACCACCAATTCTAACAAACAGCGCCGGATTAATCTTTCCCGATCCGGTCAAGGGCACCGCTCACAAAAATATTAAAATTGTTTGTGGCTGCATGGAAGTGCCTTTCACGATCAGGGTATTATTTGATCATCACGTTGATTAAACCTTAGAAAGATCGGAAAATACCAACTATATCTTTCTCTCAATTTTTAGCCTATTGAAAATCCAGACTTTCCCCTTTTCTCCTTCTGTAATCCGGCAATTCGAATATGTAAATGATGAAAACGCAACGTGTCAAACTACCCATAATAGCGACCCAGTACGAAACAGGCGCTTTCATCGCATACAAAGTCTTTAAAGAACGGCGGACAAGCAAAACTTAAAATAAACAAATGTAGTCAGATAGTTCTGAAGAAAAGGCTCTAATCACCGATTCGCAAAATAAGCAGAAATTTATTTATTTATTCGCTTTTATTAACATCTCATTCATTTCATTTATTTTATTATATTTATTTATCTGTCGGTGTAAACACTATACATCACGAATCCTAGTACGCAGTACAGATTATCTGTTTGTTTCCACTGCTAAAATCTTTAAATGTTTTGCCAATGTATAGAAAACAATGGAGCTGAAATTGAATATATCTTTTATTCAAACGCCACTCACATTTCCTATGTTTCTATTGATGGCGGAGAATCTAAAGCCTTGGTGAAGACACCAAGCGCGACCCTTGGTTACGACGAACTGAACTACCGCCTTTGGTATTATAAGGACGGTGAGAAACTTTACAACTCAAATTTGGATGGGAGTGATTTGAAAAATGTTTCGGTTCCATCAAATTTCGGTCCTTTTGCTGTTGATGCAGCGAATCAAAGTGTCTATTATCTCACGAAGACTGATTTTAACCTTAAATTGATTGACTACGATGGGAACGACTTACCAGATATTGGTGTATCACCAGACAATGATTTCAGGGATTTGCAAATCGACACCCATAACAGGTACATTAAATTTCAATTTCAATTTGATATAATATTTAACAGTCATTCTGCGAACTCGAGTCGTTTATGAGCCGTATATACACAAACTTTGTCGCCCTTTAGGTGCATTTTGGTGTGCTATTATCAACTAGGCTTGGATTTCTATTTCACTCAACTTCCCAAATCTTTCCGCCATTTTGTTTACTTTCTCTACTAGACAGATATGAGCTATTATTATACACACAAGCGCCATGCAGATATGAGGTATGCTGCAATTTCATTGGTTGGCTGCTAGACAGATATTAGCTCATATCTGTCTAGTAGAGAAAGTAAAAAGCTCACTCTCGTCTTATATTGCCGATAACCATGCACTCGACGCTACGCGCCTCGTCGGCTATCAGCTCATATACGACTCGAGTTCGCAGAATAACTGTTAAATATCTGTCTAGTAGCCAACCAATGAAATTGCAGCATACCTCATATCTGGCGCTTGTGTATATAATAAAACTATTTATTCAGTAGTTATAATTAAAGGTAATAGTCACTTGAGTAATGGTTAAAATTGAACCTTTAAAATAAGAAAACATAGACATAATAGGTTGACGTTCTCAACATAAAAACTCTTAAACAATCAGGACATTTATTTATTTATTTATTTATTTATTTATTATGCTTTGCCAGTTACACACAAATTATACAGTACAATAATAAGCACAAATTATAGACAATTACATGTCAGGGTATACGCTACAGCTTACGCCAATTACAGCGGCCCTTAAAAATAATACAACACAGAGGACAAAACGAAAACACATTTACAGAACAGTAAGCAAGACGAAGTCGAACGAGACAGGTTACGAGACACGCTACAAGACAAACATATACGCCTGTATTCTAAAAGCTCACTCACACTCACACTCAATGAGGGGACACTCATTCTTAATGAGTGCAACTCATCACTCAATGAGTGTCCACTCATGCACACTCACGTGCACATAGTATAATGCAACACTCACACTCCAACTTTTCAAAGACACCACTCACACTCAAGTGAAGCTCAGATTTTGAGTGAAGTGTGAGTGAGAGGCATACGTCCCTTGAGCTACACTCAGTTATACTCATTTGCAGTTAGTGATTCAAATATGGCGGAAAGGTGGTTAAGAAGGTTAGAATTGCTGGATAATGTCTCAAGAAACAACAGAGATAGGCGGAGACCATATATTTTTGATTATGGGAAATATGACGAGGAGCAGTTCCGTGGCATATACCGAATAACTAAGGCAAGATTTCGAGAGTTACTGGAGATAATTAGGCCGGCAGAAATATCTGCACACAACGACCGAGGGAAACCTATTCCCGCAGATATCCAACTTTTGTTGACGCTCAGGTTTTACGCTACGGGAACATTCCAGCTAGCATGCGGAGATTTGTGCGAAATTTCGCAGCCATCAGCAAGTCGAATTATAAAGCGAGTATCCGAGGCAATCGCACGCTTAAAAAACAATTACATAACTTTTCCTGAAAGTGATATGTTGGATCAACTTAAACTAGATTTCTGGAGAATTTGTGCATTTCCAAGTGTTGTGGGTGCAATTTACTGTACACACATAAAAATACCATGCCCGGGGGGTGAAAATGCTGAACTATTTAGAAATCGAAAAGGATATTTCTCAATAAATGTTCAAGCGGTTTGCGGGCCAAATTTAGAAATTTTAAACATTGTCGCTCGTTGGCCTTGTAGCGCACACGATGCTAGAATATTCGACAATAGTCGCATATGTGCACAATTTGAACGTGGTGATATCCCAGGTATATTACTTGGTGATAGCGGTTATCCATGCCGCCAATATCTAATGGCACCAGTAATTGATCCGCAGACCCGACCGGAACGCAGGTATAATGTGGCTCAAATACGTACACGAAACACAGTGAAAAGGATGTTTGGGACATAGAAAAGGATGTTTCCATGTCTTTCGACGACACTTCGCACAAAACTGCAAACGTCCCTAACTATAATTGTCGCTACATGCAGGTGTGTTGTATAACTTCGTAAGAAGCCGAAATGATCCCATAGATGAACCAGATCATATTCCGGCTGATGAGGAAGCATTAGATGATATGCATGCTGATGAAAGACGTTTGGGAAATGGGATTCGGCGATCCCTGATAATGCGACATTTTACGTAAATTATACATATCGTATTCATATTGACGACACAATAATATACATGTATACTAAACTATTAAATACAATATACATCATTGATCTTTTGTTCTCTAATTACACAACTTCATAATGGCCAGAACAAGCAATATATAATATGCTCGTACAACCATTTCCTATTTTTAGGGCTTTTTTGTCGTTAATTTTGCTTCCTAGCCCGTGTTTTTGGTTTCTGTTGCTGCTCTTGTGTGGATTTAATTGAATTTGTTATCGATTCCCAATATTGCAGTTCAGCGTCTAGCACTTTCATTTTCTTTGTGTGTTCATTTATTATATTTTGTATTTTTAACACCAAGATCTCCATCTCTGCTTCATGCTGCTTGCTTTGCATGTCCAAACAACGTGCTTGGGCAGCGGATATTTGAGGTTTTCTTGTGAGCGATGGTGTGAGGGCAGCGTCAACGACAGATGGCGGCAATTCTTTTTCGTTCGGTGCAGTGACTTCACCTGAAGTTGTCGTCTCTAAATCAATTTCATTTTCATCGCGATCGAATGCTATACATTAAACATCCAATAAAGTTAATTACATGTTATGTACAAATTTAAAAGTAATTGGAAATTAATTGAAAACATATACCATGGTATAACACCTACATGCATAGCGATTTTGCATTGTCTCACCTACTTCAAAATTATCATCATCGATCAAATACATTATTTAAGCTGTCGATTTGGGCCGGAATTATAGAAGCAACAGCCGCAGCTTCATCGTCTTGTTTCGACGATGATGGACCGCCACCAGTTAACTTAACCTCTCTCTTCTCTCTCGCCAGTTGTTTTTTCGCACGAGCCTTGACGTTTTCCCAACCCTTTTTTAACTGCTTTGCACCCCTCTTCGTTACACCTGACTGGGAATTGAATTGTTCGGATACAGCCTCCCACGTTTTATTTTTCTCGTGTATGGTTTTGTAATCATTCTTTTTATTTTCTAAAACGATCTTTGTGCTTTCGCACTAATTCAGTTAACAGCGACCTTTCCAATTGCGAAAAATATTGTCTACCTTCAGCCATCTTAATCAGTAACGTCGTACGAACGCATTGACAAGACTAACAACAGTCTTACTAGTCTATATACATTGTCGGTTATGATTATGCATCTCACTTGAGTCCCACTCAAGTGTGAGTGTGAGTGAGCTTTTAGAATACAGGCGATAGACTTCCACGTTCTAGGATCTTCGGCATTATTAATACACAATGTTACATATATATATATATACATATATATATATATATATATATATATATATATATATATATATATATATATATATATATATACAGTCGTTATCAAAAAGGTTGTCATATTGAAATATATATAAATAGGTAAATATCAGTCACGTGATTTTACTGCATACGTTTATTTTATGCGAAATCCGCGAAAATCTTTATTAAAAATTTCAAAAATATAATAGTAAGGTTAACAATATTGATAATAATAAAGAAACAGGACAAAAATGAGCGAAATAAACAATGTTTAATGCTCACGTGATTGATATTTATGTATTTGTATATATATATATATATACAGCCGCTGTCATTAATGTTGTCCAAATCAAGTATATCAATATACCTGTCATGTGACTTACTGGTATGCACCAACTCGAGTGTGCTTGCTATGTAAATGTATGAAGCACCCGCATAGCAGATACATTTACATAGCAAGCACACTCGAGTTAGTGCATACCAATAAGTCACATGACAGGTATATTGATATACCTGATTTGGACAACATTAATGACAGCGGCTGTATATATAGATACAATAGCGAAACGTTTGGAAGTTTTTATTGTTTTTATTATTTATATAAAGTTCGTTCTTAAAACTACAACATATCAGTTCCTTTGGTAGTGTATTCCATGCTCAGCACTCTGGATAAGAACGATTTCTTAAATGTCGCAGTCTTGCACTTTGTGCTGGCCAACAGTAAACAGTTGGCGTCAATTGATCTTGTTGTTCTTTCATGGTTTTGAGTTTGTGGCAGAACGTTTCTATCAACGTTTACCATCCCATGTAATTTAAAGAAGAAGACGAGATCGAGAAACTCGTGCCAATAGCAGAGTGGTAGGAGATCCAACATATCTAGTCTCTGTGTATAGGTAATTTCGCTCATAAAGGCCAGGTCTAGATGAATTTGCTCGCGCGTGGTTGAATTCGTTCCAAACGTTTAATGTTTTCCACAGATTGTGGACTCCAAACTTGCATGAGAAGCTTAGCATAGTTTCGAGCGTACAAAAGCCAAATATAGGGTGCGACGAACTGACATAGACTTAATGTCTAGAGTGATTCTTCTAATGTAGCCTAACATTTTAGTAGCCCTATAATGTAGCCCAAAATTAACACGTTCGTGATCAGTTCTTTCAGGGCAGAATTATGCAGCTTATATAAGGGAAATCTATTTTGGTGAGCTTTCTTGTGATTTGTAAGACTTTACATTTCTCAGCGTTCAGTTCAAGGTTCTCATTGCTAGAGCTCTCTTGGAAGTTTATCAGATCTTGTTGTAGCGACTACGCGTTAGCAACAGAGTATATAGGTTTGTAAAGTTTCGGGTCGTCCGCAAAGGCTGCAATATTTGATGTGCTCACGGTTTCAGAGAGGTGATTTTCACATAGAAGAAACAGCAAGGAGCCGAGAATAGAGCCCTGCGGCACACTGGATGTCACAGCAAGTGATCGTAATGTTGCACCAGGAACAGTTGTCTGTTGGTAACGATTGCTGAGATATGACGAAAACCAGTTAAGGAGTTTACCTTAAAAACCAAACTCGCGTAGTCGGTGCATTAGCTTAGTGTGACTAACTTTATCGAATGCGTTCGACATGTCCAAGTAAATCACATCCATCTGTTTACCGGTATCTAATTGCCGACCTATTAGAATACTTCAATCGTTTGTGTCACACAGGATTTTGTGGGACAACTCGTGTTGATTTGATGGAAAACGTGAATGTTCGAAGTTACGAAACACGCAACGCTCAAGGATTTCAGATATAATTGAACGACTTGCAACGACTTCCAGGCAACATTTTCTTTATGGTCATGCGATGTTCTTGAAATCTTTGTTTGAGATGTTCACTTGGATGACAGGATCTTTTAATTCTCCTTCTTATTGAGTTTTTTCTTGATGCAGTAAAGTATCGTACTCTTCAACCAAGGCAGGTGGTTTAGACTTCGAAATGTTCTTGTCGGTACAAATTTCAATACTGCACCTAAAGACACATTTTTCCATGAGAACCAATCCTAGTTAATGTCGCTGTTTTGACTGAGGTCGAGAAATTGAAAGTTTTTGTAGACCGTCAAAGTCAGAGCATCGGTAATCAAACCTTGTCGTTTAATTTGGCGGAACGGCATCCATCTGCAAGAGAAGATAGCTTTAGTTGGCTGCTAGACTACATTTAGAGTATTCAAGCACACATCTCCAGCAGGAGATAACTATATGAAATAGCTGAAAGTTTCTAACTAGCACACAGTCATAAACAAAAAATAGCAATTGTTGCAGGATTTTCATTCTGGTTAAAATGATCTCCTAGATTGTCCAGTTATTTTACACATTACACATTGGTATATTACAGTGAACATGTGTACAGTATTTATTGTTAAACACAGGAAATGTTGGGGCATACAAATGAAAGAGATACTGTGAGGCAAATCAATGTAAATGTCAACTTCAGGTTTGACTGGCAGAGCTGGCCCAGTTAACATGCATAAAAAGTATTTGAAATATACATACTGTATGACATTTAAAAACATAGAAACATGCGCATATATATATTTTAATCTCAATTGAAAATATACCAGTTTAATGTACTCAGCGGATAGAATAAAATTCCAACGCTTATACCAACTGACTTACGTGGAACATTTTGTCCCCCAAGCGAAGATAAATCCAAATCATCAGAACTTGAAGATGTTATTGTAAGGATAATTTTATCATCAAAATATGATAACGGTCGACAGATATTATTATTAGCATATTTAAGAACAACACGAAAGATTCACTGACAGTATACTCTAAAAACGTACTAAATATTATATAAAATGCAACCAAATTCTGTAATAAAATATTACCGTCAAATGAGAACTTCTTGAGTAATTACTCCAGGTCATTCATATGGCCACAAACCACCAAAAACGCAAGAATGCACGAGTAAAACTCCGAAAAGCTCGATTTGTCAGAAATCGTATTTCTGGCAAAAAATATTTGCATTTTCTGCCAGGCGCTCCATTTCTCCGTCGCGTCCTCCCCAAAATTCCTTGCGTGCTCGCTCTGCTTAGCCACTGATCTATGTAAAAAGCCTCTAGTGTTCCTATATTTTATTTTATTTAAAGCGCCTGGGAACGAGGCTAGTCGGTTGAAAGGTTTGAATCACTTGGTTTTAAAATTTGACGTAACTCGGTCGGGTACATTGGTAATAACAAGTTCAAAAATGTTTTCACCTTTGGTGGGAGTTGTGTTCAGTTGCTCCAGGAAAATGTCATTTAATGTTTCATACATGAGTTCTTACTGACATCAGTTACGTCACTAACGTTTTCTTGAAAGTTCCATCTTGCGCGCGGAAAATTAAAATCAATTTTTGAATGACTTGCGCAAACATCTTGAAGGAGAGTTTCAAATTTATCAATCTGGTCGACGATAACATGAATATATTAGCAAATTCATGTCTTTCGCAGTCGTAATTTCTGCCAAAACAATCTCTAGATCGTGATTATGCTCGACTTCACGCACAGATTTAAACACACCAGTTTGATTCCCAGTAAAACACCACCGCCCTGCCCCCGCGTCTTCACGATCTTTCCAGACAATACAATACCATTATCCCGGGTGTAGAATTTTAGAGCTGTAGATCCGATCAGAGAGCCAAGTCTCACTAACACCGACAATGTCCAAATCTTCGGTGTAAACAAGTTTTGAAAACGTTCGAGATTGCTTTCCGTTATGTTGTCAGTTTTAAATTTAAGTAAACTTGTCAAACGTTTTGAGTTTAAAACGAGACCTTTTATGCTACAAATGAAGTCGTCTTTGGGTCCACGGTTGATTTCAACATCGCCTGATGATTTGATGAAAAACACCGCATACAAAACGTAGAGAATAAGCGCACTCCAAGGATCAGTTTCAAGGTGTTTGTTAACGGTCGCTGTTTCGAAACTCGTCGACGTTTGATAACATTGTACAATCTTATCAGCTTTGTGACCTCTATGGACACATATATGCATTTTGCCAGGTGGAAATACTTGTGGTTGCACAGGTCTTTGGATGAAATATTCTAAAAATTACAACTTATAAGTATGCAAAAAGTATCAATTTTTTTGATTAACCGCTATGATTGCGTTTATGATTACCAGTCTTTTCTCGTTCGCGCATGCGCATAAATAACATAACAATGCAACTACCATGAATGGGATGGAATTTTTAAAAAAAGAAAAATAATTTTATTTTTAATTCGATCAATATATTTAAAAATAAGCCATAATACGATAATGAACTCAGGGGCCAAAAGCTCGAGCCTTGTTCTCGCATTATAGCTTATTTCCATACTTATTTTTCAAAATTATTAAAGTGGTTCTAAATTTCATACGATAATTGTGGGTCTACTCTACTCGCCATCATTCGTGTTAAACAATCGAATTTAAACATCCAGCAATAGAAGCGTATAAATTTTCGCCCCCCCCCTAATTCAGTGTCTAACATCGCCCCAGTTTGAATATTAGTGACTGCAAAATCGTGCTGCGAGAGTTATAACGGGGTCTACTTTTGATATTCGATCTGTTGGCGTACTGAATAATTGTTAAGCTGGGAATCTTTAAATAAGAGACGCAATTATTCTAAATCTATTTAAATGTATAAAATATTAAATGATCATCCTCCAAATTTAAAACAGTTATTTCCATGATTTTTAATGAAGGTGATTCCCCCTATATATGATCTTAGGAATCGTGAAACTGACTTAATACTACCACAACCAAAGAAGGAATTTCTTAAAAGAAGTTTCAGATATAATGGAGCTATCCATTGGAATAATTTGCCTATTGATACAAAAAACGCTGATTGGGTTCATTTCTTTAAGAGAATTATAAAATCTACGGCGAGATGAAGTTGATTTTTTCCTGGATGATACTTACTAATAATTGTTTTTTTTCTATATATATTGTCGGCTTGTAATTTTTTGTATTTTTATGTAACCATTACCTATCTTTTAACACGCCCCTCATGAGGCTAGCGTGTCTAAATAAAGTTTTATGTATGTATTTATGTAGCAATTTTAGAGCTGCGTAACTATGATAACATATAACCGGTAATAAACGCATGAATATCCAATAATTTAATGTCGATTTTTTTTCAACCTAGAACAATATTTTTCACCACTGATCTTACAAACAATCGAAATCTCATCCGGTACAGTCTTGCTGATGGAACTGTTCAAACTCTTCACTCTGGTGTTCCTGGAATAGGCACTAATCTTGCGCTTGATATCGTGAATAAAACCGTATACTGGATTCTATTTACTTCTGAGACAAATTACAAGATATTAAAAACAACGTACGATGGTCAGACTACACAGATAGGAACAGATCAATCAGGAAATATTTCAACCGTGGACATTGCAGATCGAAATGGATATTATTATTTCCTCGATACAACAACATCGAAAATTGATAAATATAATAAATCGTCAGATGAAGTGGCTACTACGATTTCACTTTCAACTGAAGCCACAAGAATTATTGTTGTATCTGGTAAGTTGCAGTTCTTTTTCAACCAATTTTGATAGAATGATAGTATGATTTTTGCACGCTTTTGCAAGTATTTTTGACTTTTAAAAACAAGTTTCGCTTATCTCTAGCTTTCGTTGTTTCGGAAATTAGAAGCTATTTACTCGATCCAATGTAAAATTCTACAATTTTTCGTATACGTGCATATATACGTGCTTGAAAATTGCGGTTGCCTGACGAGTAGATATATCTAGAGGAATAAAATTATAATATTTCAAGTAATTTCCAAATTTTCAGGATATTGCGTTTGCAAAACGAAGCCTGAGATGATTTTTAGGCTCTAAAATAAGCATACAATCATGGGATGTATTCATGCGCTTGTTTAGTTTCATAAACTGATTTATTTTAATAACCTCAAAATTATCTTTCGTTTCGCTCAATCTTAGGTAATTGGGCTCATGTAAACAGTACCTGAGTTGTTTTCTTCCTTTAGATAAAGACCATTGTGCTTTGAATAATATGTGTCCTGCAAACTCGACATGTACGAACTCCCCTGGCACTATTGTATGTTCATGTGACACTGGTTTCACTGGAAATCAAACATATTGCAAAGGTATACAGAAAGTAGAATTTAAAATGCACCAGACAATACCGATTAGCTATAATGGAAATCCTATTTTTAGAATGATTCTTTATATTAGTTTCCATCAGACGACAAGTCTTAATTTTTTGAAATTTCCAAAATTGCCGCAAGGATTAGAACTGCATGAACACGATGACTTACCTTACTCTGATTTCAATATAAGGGTATTATTGAAATATGTACAGGTATAAACACAAAGCTGTTGTTGTTTTCGGTAACAAAAATGAGTCTGTTGCACCCTCACCCACGATTGTTAACACCTTACAATACAATAATCGTCTAAAGTTTTACTAGTTTATGCAACTTGTTGACGCTCAAGTCCGTGTGCAGCACACTGACATTTTCCGCCGTGTTTTAATTAATCAGGAACAAATTAGTTGTTTTTAGAGTTGACCAGAAGCGATTTTGTTTATTTCTTATAACTTAATTATCGCATTTTTTTCCAAACTTCCTAGATATCGATGAGTGTTTAAATAGTCCATGTGGATACAATACAAACTGCACAAACACCTTTGGTTCTTACATTTGTAAATGTCAAACAGGATATGAGGGAAATGGAACAAATTGTACAGGTATAGCATCACTTTTTGTGGAGATTCATTCAACATAATACTCAGCCGCACCTTTACGATTTTTAAGATTATGTGACACTTCACTCCATGTAGAATAAAGGTCATTAAGGGTCTTAACTTCAATGAACAACAGTTCAGCAACCTCTGCGGCTCAGAGGCAAGAGTATGGAATCAGCATCCCAACACTGAGACTCGTCTTTGTTAAAGCAATGTAGCGTGATTAATGGATCAACTTGCGATCTAGGTAACAAGAAGGAAATAAATCACCACAACTAGAAAGAACATACCGAAATTCGTATACAAAAAAGTATGCAAAATTGCGAACCTCGCATGGCTTTTTTTTCGGTATACTTTGCAATATTTTGCAGCCAAACTTGGCAATTTTACTAAATTTAGTACGCACTTTTCGGAAATTTCCTTTTTGTCGCCTAAATAAAAAGTTGGTCTATTATATGTAATTGTTGGTTCGTAAATACTTGCAAACAAGAGAAATAATTAGGATTATTCAAATAAAATTGTAACTACGTATTACGGAACTTGTGGTTAGAGCATTTTCATGAGTGAAGTGATCAAGATATAAACATCTAAAAAGTGTTCCTGAATGAAAATCAACTACTTTTCAAGTCGTCCGAACATTGGCGTTACCTTAAGACGAATGATTAATCAAAATATATAACGGTCTTGCTTGACAATTTTTATGACATCGATTTCTGTATAATATACAAATAATGAATGTTTATGAGTGCAATGGTAAAAATATTTTCACGAGGTGAAAGATGGAATGTTCCATTCAACGAGGCGATAGCCGAGTTGAATGGAACATTCCATCTTTCACCAAGTGAAAATATTTTTACCATTGCACGAATGAAAACATTCATTATCTGTTTTATATAATACCAAAATAGACTGTCTCGTTTCAAAAATATAATTTATTAAAAAACATACTGTATGGATCAACAACCATATCTGCGAGAAGCATTTTGATGGATGGTATTTACTGAAAGCATTAAGAGTGCAATGGAACAAAATGTATAGTACAATTGCACTCTGGAGAGTGGAATGGAACGCTTTCCAGTGCACTCTTGGGAAATGGGACTTTCTATTCAATATCACGTGATCGTCATCAACCAATAAAACGCTCTAAATTTAATGGGGTATTATATAACAGGTTATATTATATGACTTTTCTAAATCCTCTATTCTGAATGGTTGACGAGCAGTCCGTAAAAACCCATATCCGTACCGTGGTGCGTGTATTCCCTATTTGGACCAGTATCCCGGATGTCTCATGCAGTTCAGCCATCGTGTCTGACATCGTGTGATTGATGGAGTGTAGGCTGAGAATAGATTTAGTAGAGTAATATTTAAAATAAGATATTTCGTCTTTTTTTCCTTTTAAAGATATTGATGAATGTTTGGCTAACCCATGTGGTTTCAACGCAAACTGTACAAACACTGGTGGTTCATACCTTTGTGAATGTAAAACCGGGTATGAAGGAAATGGAACAAATTGTACAGGTAAGATCTGGTTATCAATTAATATTTTCCATTTATAGGCATTTTCAGGTATACGGTTTATTGCCACTTTTTTTTCTTTAAAAAGCTTATGCGCAAGTGGTATTCTTCTTTAACAGTTATTCAGATGATTCCTGAACACCTATATTTCTAAACCAAGCCTAAAATCTTAAAAAACAAGAAAAATGGTATTCATATTGCACTGAGTCGTATGAAACAGAAACTAATTTGCAATTATTTTCGCATTAGATAAAACGCTTAGATACTAAATCGCGACCACCGGCTAAGTAGCATTTGCGATCACAAATTAAGTTCGATATATATTTTAATGGCCTTTGAAAACTAGCCTGCACGCGCGCTGGCACGTCTAACGGGTAAAGGCAATTCTGCATTACCTCCCGCTTCATCCGCGCGGGCGAAGCGGCTTTTGAAAGTCTGTCAATGCGACTGTGAGCTGTGACGAGCCTTAAAAACAAAGCGTGCGTACGTAACAAAGCCCTCGCGGGTGTAGAGGACGTAATGGTGACTCGGATTTATAGGAAAGGAACGTTTTATCATATTTATACGCCGCATTGTTGTCGAGCAAAAAATTTGCTCCATGTATACAAATGCTAATTAGGACGAAACATTATATTTTATAAAGAATACTAATGAGCGTGGCAAATTATATGACGTGTCATCTTAATTAAAATATATAATGCTTTACCATGTGTAAGCCCACCACACGTGACCTTCTTACGGTTCAAATCCGAGGCTAAAATGCTTATATATGAATTATTAATAAGTTATATTCTAAATTATACATTATTATTATTATACAGTCTATACTTTTTGTCCTAGATCTTCCCTCATAGAGCAATTAACGCGCGGTTTTTAATTGGTATTTAAACCAAATCAGGATACTATAACTAGGGACGCCGTTTCGGAATAAGAATAGTCCAGCAATCTGTTGAAGTTGTAAGCGAAGAGATCGACGGTCGAACTATACAAACAGTGAAACATGATGAAAATTGAATAGAAGTAGAATAGAAAAAGATACATTGGGAGGTGGGAAAGGATGATAGAGGCAAAACAATTCAAAACGGTTTCATTATCGCAAAAGCCACTTTTAGTATGAAAAGTAGCGTTAAGTTAATAAGTAACTGCTGAAATGCCTGTATTTGCTAAACCTCGTGTTACATTGTTTCTCAGATATCAATGAATGTGAAATGGATCCATGTGGTTTTAATTCCAAGTGCACAAACACCAATGGCTCGTTTATTTGTGAATGCCAAACTGGATTTGAAGGAAGTGGAATAAATTGTATCGGTAAGACTTTTTCACTAGATATATTTACCACTTTCCGTTTTAAAGTAAGGCAAGACAATGCACTTTTTGACGTCTCGACGTAAAGACAGCTGCATATTTGCTACTTGATGCAGAGCTATTTACATATGCAGGATAAGCAAAAAATTATCTCATCACAATGAATATATACAATATGAAATTACAAGATATCGCCAAAACTGCATGAATTAAGCAATTTTTTTCAGACATAGATGAATGTCAGTCATCTTCTTGTGGTTACAATGCAAATTGCACCAACAATGTTGGTTCTTATGACTGTGAGTGCAAGACTGGATATACAGGAAATGGAACAAACTGTACAGGTGTATAATTATAAGCTGTTGCATCGCCTTTTGTACAATTTTGTAGTCAACATTTCATGCAAAATGTGGAAAGAACTTCCCTGTGCGATCATATTGTGTTTGACAAAGATATATTTATATGATTAATTATTAAAAAAAGGTTTTTTGCACTAAAATCATCCAGTATCTCCCTACAGATATCAATGAATGTCAAACAAATCCTTGTGATGGAAATGCAAATTGTACTAATAACGATGGCTCATATGTGTGTACCTGCCATGAAGGCTATTCTGGAAACGGCGCTAGCTGTACAGGTAAACCTTGGGTGATATACGAGAGCGTATCAGTACAATATACTTTAGATTTTAGCAAAACTTGGTTGTTTCATTAAAAATCCGGAATTGCATTGTCCAAAATGTTGCCTCAATTTTTCTAAGTGTTATAAAGAGTGAGTGTGCTATGCATACACCATATCAGCATTCCTATAACACTTTCTTGGTGTAAAAAGAGAAATTCTCTACCTAAACAAACTTAGTGTACGTTTACATTAAAACCGTGTAACGTTACCTAATTCTTTCATATTATACTTTACGATAGCGTTAATATACACCTATATTTACTGTTGTGCTTTACAAAAATTTCACATAACATAAACATTTCACATATGAAATAGGAGTTTCATATATGAAATGAACATTTTCATATATGAAATCGAAAACTTCATAATATTATTTGAAATTTGATTTTCACATAAGAAAAGTGATTTTCAAATGTGAAATGCTACTTTCATATATCAATTTTATTTTTTTTAATATGAGTTTTCCTATGTAAAAAACTATTCACACATGAAATTTTTGTCTTCAACAATGAAATAATTTAGACTGTGTATAAGACGTTTATTTTCACATAGTAAATTCCATAATGCCGTGCAATTCAAAAAGTGACACTTTGACAGAAAATATGAAATTCTCAATTTGTGAAATTTAAATGGTATTATTGGGCACGTTACAAACTCGCAGGTTTTCCATCGGAATACATCCCTAGCCTAGAACTCCATTTACTGTGGAATTATATAGGTAGTAAGTAAAAATTATCAATAACGTTAAATTTGATATTCAGATAATAACATTATTAATGTTTTAAGTACGAAAAGATTGGATTAGGGGAAGAAGGGTGTATTGCCATTCATATCAACCTAATTTAACCTCTTCATTTTAAATTTCGACAGACATCGATGAATGTGCGGAGGGTGATCCATGTGGTTTCAATACGAATTGTATGAACACTAATGGTTCTTACACGTGCGAGTGCTTATCTGGGTTTGAAGGGAATGGAACAAATTGCACAGGCAAGTTTTAGGGTGGTCATATTTTGAACATTTTTCATTTTTCAATTGCATCAAAGTTTTAGAACACATTGCAAGGATTGATGTTACAGAAGACTTTATAAACGTCCGCGACTGGCAACTCCTGCATTGTGTATGATAATTATACGATGTTAAAATGCTAAATCCGTTAAATAGCTATACAGTCATATCTGTTTCAATCTTTTTTATTTCTTCAAGAGAGAAATACCGATTAATTTAATAGGATTTATTTATTCCAGGGGATCATTTCGTAAATTTGTACAATTATATCGAATATAGATATCAACGAATGTGAACGAAATGCTTCCTGTCATACAAATGCAACTTGCACAAACGTGGATGGATCATACTATTGCGCTTGCAAAGCAAACTACAGTGGTGATGGCTTCTTTTGTGAAGGTAAACGCAAGGGTTTAGCAGTCATAAGGGCCGGGTTCAGCTGCCATGTGATCTAGGGGTATCCTCGGAATCATTTAAAATACATAATTTTATGAAAAAATTATTGGACGAGATTGAGCGTGATATTGTGAATTAATTATCAAGCCAAAAGTTAGGCTTCAGTGGCGGATCTAGGATTAGGCGGAATAAATTGAAATACTTAATTTTAAATTCAAAATACTTTAATAACAACGCTATTGGTCATGGATTTCTAAAGAATATTTTAAAATAATCTTCCAATGCAATTACAATTTTCGAGGCCTGGTAAATTATTCTGCCTAGCCCTGAATCCCGTTACCCTGGGGCGCTTGCCTTTAGGTAAGCATACGGTGAAACTATTTTATTGAGTAATTATTTTCTGATTTATTGATTTTAAATTGATTTTGGAAACTATTATTTTGTATTGAAGACTTAATAATTACAGAATGCCAGGAATTATTTATAAATTTGACGCCATAATTATATAGTCATAATTACAAATACTAGGAGTTATAATATTTTGCAAATTTGACGTCATAATTATTTCAAGGCTAACCAATCAAAGCGAATATTGTGTACAAATTACAGTGAATAATAATTATAAATTATAGATATTAAAGTCTTTTTAACGTTTAACGGCGAGTGTTGTAGGTATTTTGACAGTACAGTCAGAGTTTGCCTATGTATTCTCTATAATAATTATTTTTTTGTAATTTGGGTAGTGTTGACGTGCAAAGTGGAAGCCATATACTATGCAACAACCGATGATATCAAAGGCGTATTTTCTGACGGTAACACGACTGTGACCATATTATCCGCAACCAACGTGAAACTAAATTATGATTCTGGGACTAAAAGACTCCTCTACTACGATGGCACCAGTCTGATCACAGTTAAACTGGACGGAAGTAATGCAACCACGATAGCATCTCTCACGACCATCTCTCGGTTTACAGTAGATCATATAACAAGAAAGGTCTACTACGTTACTGGACTATTCAAATCACTAAATGTTATTGACTTGAATACTGGAAATATAACGGAGCTTAATCCAACCAATATTTCTAATGTTGACGACTTGGATAGTGATCCAGATAGCAGGTACGCAAATAATTAACACGTGAATAAATAAAAAATTCTAAAAATTTTGATATACTCGCTCAAAATTTGTTGCTCGTCACTTTACAGTCAGTGCTACGCGCCTTGTCGGCAATCAGCTAATAGATAAATTAACTAGAAATACATGCATGCAGCAATCAACCCCTCGCCTCAGTTAAACGAAATTAGTTAAGCATAAAGGGATGGTAACATGATAGAAAATTTGTGTGGGTTGAGGGTTTGGAGATTACGTGATATGTGAAAAAAGAAGTATGAAAATATTTTTCTGGGCGTGGAAGCACTGTTATTTGTAGTCATAGCGACTCTAAACGGCCGTATATTTTTAAAGAATCAAAGTTTACCCTCATATTTTTGTGAAAAAATGGCAAAACTACGACAACGTTCTTACCTTTTTCTAGAAGTTATGTCACTGAACTATAGCTAGTGTTATGGTAACATTTACTTATTTTAATTATTAATTAACGTCAAATATAACATCAGACGTCTCATACAACTTCACGAAACTTCTACGTTACCCCTCGACTTGTTTTTGCACGCGAATATTTTCATTATATTTTTTTGTCATTTTGAAAACGGAGTTTATAAAATAAATCAAATTATAATGTCATCTATCTCATAACACATTCAGATTTATAGTGAAATACATTTGAGAAATTAGTCTTGTTAACTTTTTTAAACCCTAACAAGTCCCTACCACATTCGATATATATATCACAACGTCAAGAGAGAGAGCTCAACACAATACACAACATATATATATATATATCACAACGTCAAGAGAGAGAGCTCAACACAATACACAACATATATATATATATCACAACGTCAAGAGAGAGAGCTCAACACAATACACAATGCTGTTGAGCAATATTATAAATCAAAGAAAAACGCCACCGAGCTAAACAAACATATTTGGAAATTAAAGATATTTTCATATTTATAAAAATTTTCATATTTGCAAAAACGTTGGCCGCAGATAGATAAATAGATACATAGATACTCGTCTAATTAGAATTGCATATGCATGACTACATTTGCATGGGATTTCAATCATATTACACAACATATGCAATTCTAATTAGATTTCGGGTATCTATCTATATATCTATCTGCGGCCAACGTTTTTGCAAACGGGTGTATATATATATATATATATATATATATATAATATATATATATATATATATATATATATATATATATATAAATATATATATATATATGTATATATATATATATATATATATATATATATATATATATATAATATATATATATATATATATATACACCCATTTGCAAAAACGTTGGCCGCAGATAGATATATAGATAGATACTCGAAATCTAATTAGAATTGCATATGTTGTATAATATTATAGAAATCCCATGCATATGTAATCATATGCAATTCTAATTAGGCTTCGAGTATCTATCTATCTATCTATCTGCGGCCAACGTTTTTGCAAATGGGTGTATATATATATATATATATAAATATGTATAAATATATAAGTATAATCTTGTTGTTCGAAAAGACAAAAGAGTGCTAAATACTATAAGATGTTATAGTAGTACTATAAGATGCTAGATATATGTATAAATATATATATATATATATATATATATATATATATATATATATATATATATATATATATATATATGTGCTCAATACTATAAAATGTTATAGTAGTACTATAAGATGCTATATATATGTATATATATATATATATATATATATATATATATATATATATATATATATATATATATATATATCACTTTAGTGTGTGTCGTCGCTGCATTGCAACATGGCGGACAGTTATATGCGATATAGCTCTGTTAATTTCGACGAAGATTCTATGAATTCTTGGGATTTCAACGTCATATACAACAATATCATTTGTAGAAATATTGTATACGACGGGAAAAGATTATCTTGGTGCAATGATTATAATTTGTTGAAAAAATTTGTTGAACAAGCTTTAGCACAACGTGGAAAGTGGCGGTCGCCTGGCGGCAGTGCAAAAAGATTTGTCAGCGATATCTCAGATTTTACTGTGACATGGTACTCTGGAAAGTTAAACAGTCTATCCTTTAACGGTAAAACTGGCGAATACGTTAGGGCTTTTCTGATAAACTCAATTGCACCAACATTTTCTGATCTCGCAGGAAATAATATCCCACAGCCTCAATCAGACCTATGCTTTGAAGACATCAGTCTTAATATAGAAATACTACAAAGTAGAGTAGAATCTATGCAATCGCTGATCAACACTCACGACGATCTTTTTTCTGGGGCTCTGGATCTGGTAAACGAGATGTCCCGAATGCGTTTCGAGCTCGAGGAAGAAAAATAAAAAAACTCTATGTTGGAACAGCAAATGCAGTCCCTTAGTGACGAACTTATGAAAATGAAGTCTGAAGCCAGTCAGGATGGGTTTTCCCTGTCTGCAGACATGAAGAAAATTCAATTAGAGCAAGTAATAATGCAAAGAGATATTAAGTCGAATAATCGAGATTTCGTCAATCTCAACGATAGTGTTAGTAAACTTAAGATTGGTTTTCGAGATATACAAGATTGCCTGGATAAACACGAAGATAATGTGTATTTGAATCCGCCCACACCATGCAATGCGATTCTTAATTTGCCTGCTCGGGTTGAATCCCCTGAAGGATTAGTGTTACCGCAACACTGCTCAAACTGTCCTAATTTGAATAGTACTGGCAAATCTACCCAAACAATAGAATCAGAGATTAAAGAAATTGATATTGAATGCGTTAAAACCAATCTGTCCCCCACCGACAGTCCGGATACAATAGCCGATACAATAGAGGATCATAACATGCGCCAATAGTCTGATTATTAACAGTGCGTTTGCTGAATTAACCCTCAAGGAAGGTGAAAATTGTAATGAAGTAAGCAACGTTGAAGATCAGCCTCACAACGCCGACTCACATACAATCAATATAACCAATACTCTTACAAGTCAATATAGACGTAGCGATGTAGCTCCACCAACCCAACAAAATGTCCCTGACAATAACAATGCGAAGACCATCCCTGTCCGTATTACGAACAGAAGTCGCCTCAAACCAAACCGAATGGAACTGTCAGCCCAAAAGAGGAAGAACCTAAGACACACTGTACACCACCATCAGCAAGTATATGGTAATCAAGTAAGCGATATTGTAGACGGCCACAGGCCACAACAAAAAGCCACTGAAGAAGACCATGCTAAGATCATTCCCGTCCGTATTACTAGTAGAAGTCACCTTAGACCGAAACGAGCGGAACCTCTGGCCCGAAAGAAGAAACATCTAAGACATAATGCATACCACGATCAACAAGTAAATAGCAGGCCACTGCTGTTACACCATAAAAAGATGAACAATACCAATCTAAATGGATCCGACAAAGTTTTTTTTCGTACCGCCCCCAAACGGAAACCCAAACTACCGCATCGAACACAGAAAATATCGAGAGACAAAATGTTTTTTTATCAATTTCATTATTAGATGTCCATCCCTCCGCGAACACCTCTAGCGCGAACGCTTTTGGTGGGAATATCTTTCTAACACCCGATGTAATACAACGAACATCAATTAATAATCATAATAATAATCTTGTGAACCTTGACGAAGGCAATCAGAACCAGATCCCAGTAAGAATTACTACACGTTTTGAAACGTCACGTGATAAAGCGAGGTCTCATGTACCTTTAAACTGTACTAATACAAGGTCAAATTGGAGAGTCAATGCTCCAGGTCAAAAAAAGGTACTCTCGTCAAATTTGATTAAAATTGACCGATTTGTTCAGAAAAATTCGTCCAGTTATGTTCCACGCATAATGCTTTCTAATACCATTTCACTTGTTCCAAAAATGGTGGAAGTTCAAAAATTTGTCCTACGAAACCGAGTTGATATTGCCTTCATAACTGAGACATGGCTTAAAGATACCATAAGTGACTCTGTAATCGATATTCCAAGTTTTAACATTTTTAGGAAAGATGGGGAATTTTCCCAGCATGGTGGTGTTTGTATATACCTTAAGCAAGGAATTACGTACGACATCCCTGAAAACCTGCAATGCTGCAACACCCATGAAATTCTCTTTTTGAGACTTCGACCGAGCAGGTTGCCCCGAGGTTTTACGTGTATTATTGTAGCTGTGGTCTATCATCCCCCAAGATCTGATCCGCTATCCATGATAAACCATCTCTTCAACAGCCTGTCACATGCCGAATCATCTTTTCCTGGTTGCGGTTTAATTGTTGCCGGGGATTCTAATCGGCTGGACATTAATTCCTTAAAACGGCATTTTAAATTGAAACAACTTGTTAAATCTGCTACTAGAGGCCGGGCAACGTTGGACCTCATTCTCACGAACATGGGCGACCATTTTTCTAAGCCTGAAATCCAACCACCGTTTGGCTTGTCTGACCACAACACTATCCTGTTAAAACCCAAGATAAGAGTTCCAGATCAGTCTTCTAGGAAGTGTGTTACAGTTCGAGACATGAGGGAGAGCAGGAAAAAGTCCCTTGGTCGTTACCTCACCAATATCACTTGGTCCTCTGTTTGTAATATCCATGACTGTGAAAGTATGCTTTCCAGTTTCGAACAAATTGTTAAACTGGGCATGAATATGATCATGCCCGAGAAATTAATTCGTATATACCCAAAGGACGCCCCATGGATGTCTACCAAACTCAAAAACATGATCCTCCAACGTCAAAAGGCCTTCCATATAGACAATCAAAGTCAGCGATACAAGGTCTTAAGGAATGCAGTTAATAGAGAAAGGAAAAATTGTACGGCAAAATTCTATCGGTCTAAAGTTCAAGACCTGAAAGGTAAAGACTCAAGGAAATGGTGGCAAGAGGTGAACAGGCAAAGTGGATCCTCTCGGAAGATTTCCTCTAACCTGATCGATCAATTAACTGCTGTGCCTCACTTTCGTAATCTATCATATCAACAAATTGCTAATGAAATTAACTCGGACTTTTTTGAACCTCTCGAGTCCTTCCAAGCCCTAGATCCTTCTGCGGCAAGAGTTATCGTGAAAGATGACGACGAAATCCCCACAGTCGATTTGCTGCGTGTTCATAGTGCTTTGTCAAAGTTAAATAAACACAAAGCATCTGGTCCTGATGGTATTCCCAACTGGCTTTTAAAATATTTTGCTGATGTTTTAGCAGAACCAATCGCCAACATAATGAATGCCCCTTTTAGAGAACAAGAAGTTCCTTCGTCCTGGAAATATGCAAATATATCACCAATTGCAAAAGTTAACCAGGTTTTCGACGCCAAAAATGACCTTCGTCCTATCTCACTTACACCTACTATCTCTAAAATTGCCGAGGGTTTTATAGTGTCAGATTACATCAAGCCTGCTGTGATGAAAATCATTGACCCCAATCAGTTTGGCTCTATACCAAATTCATCTACGACTACAGCTATAATCAGTATGTTACATAAATGGTACAAAGATACAGACGGCAATGGTTCAACGATACGAATTTTGCTTTGTGACTATCGGAAAGCCTTCGACCTCATTGACCATTTCTTGCTAGTTGCCAAACTAAAATTAAAATAGTTACCAAGGTTGATCTCCTTGGTATGACGATGAACTCAAAATTAACATGGGACGATCACATTGCAAAGCTGGTTAAAAAGGCGTCGCGGAAAATCTATTTTTTAATACAACTTAGGCGCTCTGGTGTGGCTCCAAACGAACTTGTTCAATATTACTGTGCGTGCATTAGGTCATCCTTAGACTATGCATGTCCAGTTTTCCATCACGCCTTACCAAAATACCTGCGAAATGACTTGGAACGTATTCAGAGAAGAGCTCTGGCTTGTATCTTTCCTGGCCTCCCGTACGATGATGCTTTATCTCTGGCGACTCTTAAACCAATTAATGACCACCATTCGGAGCTCACGAGCCGTCTGTTTAAGAACATTGTATCTGATCCTAATAATAAACTTTACCATTTAATCCCGCCGAATATTGATGTTAACGACCATGATTTGCGACATCGCAGGAAACTAGATGTCCCACTCGTAAAGACAGAACGGTTTTTAAATTCCTTTATTATAGCAAGTAGCAATCAATATAACTCGTTATAGTGTATTTTATCTCTGTATTTAATTTTCTTAACATAGTGTAATTTTAATATTTTTAACTTACTGTAATTTTTATACACTTATTTGTTCTTATATGCTGTAAAACTCACGCAATTCAGCTTCAAGTGATTTCTCATTAAAAAATCTATCGATCTATCTATCTATCTATCTATATATATATATATATATATATATATATATATATATATATATATATATATATATATATATATATATATATATATATATTTATATATATATATATATATATATACATATATAATACATATATTATATATATATATATATATATATATATATATATATATATATATATATATATTTATATATATATATATATATATATGAATATATATCTATGGCAGGCCGCTATGGTAAGCAGAAAATTCTACTTGACCACGGCAGGATCTACGTGTTGGTCATGTAGCTCAGTTGGCAGAGTATCGGACTAGTATACCGAATGCCGCGGGTTCAAATCCTGCCGTGGTCAAGTAGAATTTTCTGCTTGCCATGGCGGGCTGCCACTCTGTGTCATATCCTACTACAAATTATATATATATATATATATATATATATATATATATATATATATATATATATATATATATATATATATACAATATATATACATACATATTTTTTTTTTGAAATATGAATTTATAAATTTCATCAAAATTTTGCGAAATGACAGTTATACAATCAATTATTCGCGTTAGAAAATACAAATTTTTGTCTCAACCAATCAAGAGCTTAGTACTGGCGCATGCGCATAACGTAGAGGACCTTCCATTGTGCGAGGTCTATTGCACATATTCGTGTTTAATTAATCCTGGAAAAAATGCAATTTTCACCTAATTTTCAACGAACCCGCATCATCTCATTTTTCCTCATATGGTACGAAGGTCATATCATTCAACAGGGAAAAGCAATCTGCAGACATGCATGGTTCGGCGTTCAACGCCTCTTCAGTGCAGCTTGGTACATCTATATATACACATGGTGACGACGACCGTATTACGCACGTGCGTTTGCTCTCAGCAACCGCACGTGTTTCAACATGGAAGCATCAAAATTTACAGTTAAAATTGTAGCAAGGTTTCAGAAACTTATAGAGGAATGAACTCGGACGAATTCGATTTCCCGTAATCTAAAAACTAAGTTCCGGGTTTTAAATGCATGCGGCGAAATTAAACGCGATTCAAATTTCAGAAGAATGATGATCCCAAATAAGTTTCGTGCCAACTTTTTCAATCTACAAGGGCCGGTTGTATGAAAGCCGGACGGCGCTAACCACCGAATAGTGGGTTTTTCAACCGTTCTAAACATGCTCGAAGGGCAATAGAATTTCAGCTTCGTAACCAACAATTATTAAAGATGATCCTGAATTAAGGAATACTAAGATTTAATCAAAGTTATACCTAAAAAACGGGCGATTTTATAGCGATTAAAAAAAAATACTATCTGGGGCCGGTTGTATGAAAGCCGGATAGCGCTATCCACCGGATAGTATTTTTTTCAATCGTTTCAAAATCGCCCGTTATTTGCTACAACTTTGATTAAATCTTAGTACTCCTAAATCAAAGATCCTCTTTAATAATTATTGCTTCCAAGCTGAAATTTTATCGCTTTTCGAGCATTTTTAGAATGGTTGAAAAATCACTATCTGGTGGATAGCGCCATCCGGCTTTGATACAACCGGCCCCTGGTGGATAGCGCTATTCGGTTTTCATAAAACCGACCCCAGATTGATAACTTGCACTATACACGCGTGCAAGGACTACTTCCAGTGTAAAATGGGTGAAATGGTATTATTCGTCCGAACGAGGCTTAATCTGTGTATCCTTACGACCCCACACTGATTACTGGTGTTATATTGATATGCATGGACATACTCTATCAAATATGCCAATGAAACATGCAGAAAGAAAAAAAAATGATGAAAGTCCGGCGATCAAGTTAAAAAAATATATCGCGCAAACCCCAAGATGAGTCAATCCCGTTTTAAATCACCAAATTCTTGCGCTCATAGCGACGCGCGGTGTATTTTTCTCATTTTTAGATGATCGGAAGTTTATCCGTGATTTTCTTTTATAGAGATAGGGCCCAGATATATATAGCGCATTATAACCACTGTTCAATGCATTGTTCAGCGAATCTCTATAACTCGTGCGATAGGCTTACCTATAATTCCATAACTTACTAAAATACTTCAATAAAAAAAAAGAAATACTGTGATTATCATTATCACATGGTTAGGATTTGCATGCCTTTTACCATAACTTTTAAACTTGGATTAATGTCTCTCTTTTTTAGTTCCCTTGTATTGGCTGACGCCACCAGAGGAGACATTGTTCGCTATTTTCTCGACAAAGACACAAATGAAGTTGTTTACCATAACGACACATCACCAAAATACCTGATAGTTGATCCTCAGTATGAAGTTATTTATTGGATTGATTATATCGATGCTAGTGATAGGTATTCTCTTATGAAGACATATTTCAATGGTTCAACGTCTGAAGTCAAGTTCTACCCTGGTACAACAAGTTCAGTGAACGTTGCAAAAGGGAAAGATAATTTATATGCAATGGATAGCACAAGGAAACGTATAGATGTGTTTGACAGACGCACTGCTACTTTCCAAGTTTCATTTTTTCTTAGTGATTCACCACAAGAAATAACTGTTGTTGAAGGTGAGTGAAACTTCAAAGAAACTGCATTCATAAAAATAATCATTACCAAGAAAAGGGTTAAAAGGCGGCAGGTTCATTTGGTATATAAACACGGAAAAATCATAGCTCCATTAGCTGTGCTGTGTCGTCTAGGCCATTTACACTACAGTCAATTTGAATAGGGTTCAGGCTACTAATGCAAAGGCCACGAGCGCGGATGAAATGTGTACTTATCAATAAATCGAGTGTGGTGTAAACGGGGTCATATACAATTGAATTTTTTTGCTGCTAAATATAAAGCACCAATACAGAATAAAGAACATAATATTTTAACTTATTATATACATAAGCGCCAGATATGAGGTATGCTGCAATTTCATTGGTGGGCTACAAGACAGATATTAGCTCATATCTGTTTAGTACTCTAGTAGAGAAAGTAAACAAAATGGCTGAAAGATTTGGGGAGTTGAGTGAAATAGAAATCCAAGCTTTAGTTGATAATAGCGCACCAAAATGCACTGAATTAAAGGGCGACGAAGTTTGTGTCGGTGAAGTATTGTATTTTGATGTGCAAATATTGAAAAAAAAATTTGAGTAAGTGTTTTTGAAAGTAATAACTGTATAAATTATAAGGCTTATATGATCCAAATGAAAATCCGTAACTCGATGCTAAACAAGTTTAGAAGGAAGAATAAATTCTTGAATGACGCACCTCACAACTTATTTTTTCAGATTTGGATGAATGTTGTGTTGGTGGATATTGTCATGATAATGCAACGTGTACAAACACACCAGGAAGTTATTTTTGCACATGCAAGGAAGGCTATACTGGGATAGGAACTAATTGTGAAGGTACGGAGAGATTTTGTGTAATTTGTTAGCAAAACAAACACAAAGCATGACAAGCCAGAACGTTGTGAAACTCGAAATTGGGAAAATAACGAAAATTTCATTACGATCAGCATGCAGCTATTGGGTAGTGCAGCATATGGCTAATGCAGTACTCTTTTTAAAACTCAAAATAAATAAAAAAAATTTTTAAATTTAAAATATGTCCGTTCGGTTTCAAATAATATGGCAGACTAAAGCCCGCCGCTAACGGGGGCTAAATTATAGCTGAGCTAATGTAGCTTTCGTGCGGCTGTTAACTCAATTGTATAACGTACGATTTCGGTGTGCTGGGGCGAACTCATGAAGGGAAATAGTTTTTATAAGTACTAAAGGCATGCAAGTGTATAGAAGACAGCATTGTTCCCTGTATGCCATGAGAAATAGGCAGAAAGGTGAAGACAACAGAACGAATTCTCATCTGTTGTGTTCTTTCAATCAAGCAGATATAGTTCCGAAAAAAAATTATCACTTTTTTGGAAAAAACCAAAATTGCTCAATATTTTATAAAAAAAGCGTGGTTTTCACCATGGTCCATATGGAAAAATAAAAATTTTGCGACTGTCATTTCAGACGTTGACGAATGTGTAACATCTCCCCCATGTCATTCCAATGCTACGTGCAATAACCCAGATGGATCTTATATTTGCACATGTAATTCTGGATATACTGGAGATGGTTTCAACTGCTCGGGTAAGACAACGGAAATAATATTTCTACCAAGTGTTGAGTAAAAAAGAGGAAATGGAAAGGTAACAATGCTAAAAATGCCATTTGTGATGTTGACGAATGCGTAACATCTCCCTGATGTCATTCCAATGCTACGTGCAATAACACAGATTATCAAAATCAAATTCGAGAGATATTCATCCGCTGTTTTACTTACGGCTACCTAGCTCACACGATTACTCTATAATTTCCTTGTTTATAGTTGTATTATATACCTATGAATTAATCTTTTCCTTCCAGCATGCCTCAGTTTAAGATGGAAAGAGGATTTTAGATTCTTTTTAATTTGCAATTGTTCACCATTTCATATACTCAGCTTGTTAAAAGTTATTCAGTAAAATATTTCTGTTTTGAGGAAAGTATAGTAAAAGATTTCTACAGATTGTCAAAATCAAACTCAATCCTTGCGAATGTCATCTCTAAATTAATATATTTCTATAGATGTCAATGAATGTCAAAAAAATCCTTGTGATCTGAATGCAAATTGCACTAATATTGATGGTTCATATAATTGTACTTGTAACATGGGCTATGAGGGCAATGGTTACAACTGTACAGGTAAGGTGAACACAGAATATCGGCATAAACAAAATTTACTGTTGTATCCACAGTCAAATTTTATTTTTCTCTGGTTTTCTATCGCAAATCCAAGTTCTGATCGCAAGCGATATTTCTATTGCTGTTTCCATGACGGCTACCTAGTTCACACGATTAGTTTAATTTCCTTGTTTGCTCTAATAGCTAAATAATTAGAACATGAATAATTAGTCTTTGGCTTGGATCTAACGTGCCTAATTAAGTTGAGGAAGGAGAGAGCATTTTACATTCTTTTTTTCTTTACAATTGTTCACAATGTTATATACTCAGCTAAGTCAGATTGTTAGTAATTATATACAAATGTATAGAAATCACAGTGAATAATAATTATAGATATGAGTCCTTAAAATCTTTTTAACGTTTAACGGCGAGTATTGTAGGTATTTTGAGAGTACAGTGAGAGTTTGCCAATGTATTCTCTATAATAATTATTTTTTGTAATTTGAGTAGTGTTGACGTGCAAAGTGGAAGCCATATACTATGCAACAACCGATGCTATCAAAGGCGTATTTTCTGACGGTAACACGACCGTGACCATATTATCCGCAACCGACGTGAAACTAAATTATGATTCTGGGACTAAAAGACTCCTCTACTACGATGGCACCAGTCTTATCACAGTTAAACTGGACGGAAGTAGTGCAACCACGATAGCATCTCTCACGACCATCTCTCGATTTACAGTAGATCATATAACAAGAAAGGTCTACTACGTTACTGGACTATTCAAATCACTAAATGTTATTGACTTGAATACTGGAAATACAACGAAGCTTAATCCAACCAATATTGCTAATGTTGACGACTTGGATTGTGATCCAGATAACAGGTAGGCAAATAATTAACACGTGAATAAATAAAAAATTCTATAAATTTTGTTATACTCGCTCAAAATTTGTTGCTCGCCACTTTATATAGTCAGTGCTACGCGCCTTGCCGGCAATCAGCTAATAGATAAATTAACTAGAAGTACATGCATGCAGCAATTAACCCCTGGTCTCAGTTAAAAGAAATTAGCTAAGCGTAGGGATGGTAACATACATACATACATACATACATAGACTTTATTTCGTCACGCTAGCCTCAACAGTCATTAGGCTGACTGATTTCAATGAGGGGCGTGATATTTTAAAAAAAATGAAGCTACAAAATTACATTAAGGACATTAAGGACATTAAGGAAATTAAGGACATGAAACAGAAACAGATACAGTACAAACAAAATACAGGAGTATAGGTATGAAACACAGGCAAGTCAGTTTCAACTCATTCTTTGTAATATAGATTTAAAAGAAATCACAGATTCCGCAATTTTAGCCTTAGGTGGAAGATTATTCCAAAGCAGGGCACCATTATAACTAAAGCACCTCTTGCCAAATTCTTTTTTTGGCATAGGTGGTGCTAAATCAGTTTCTCTATTCCTGAGATTGTATGAAATGTCTCTATCACTATTAGGACGAAAGACTTCTTTAAGATTGGGAGCGGTGTGGCCATTAAGAATTTTGTAAGTAAGATGGATTTTAGTTAGTTTCGCCTAGATTCAAGAGGTTTCCAATTTAAACTTCTAAGTAGATCAACTGATCGAATATCGTAAGTGGCCCCAGTGATTACTCTTGCCGCTCTATTCTGAAATCTTTGCAGTTTATCTTTAAGACCAATGCCGCAATTGTCCTATAATGGGCTGCAGTAATCAAAATAAGGCTGCACAACAGCATTATGTAACAATTTTAACGTCGGCAGTGGTACAAAAGGTTTAACTCGTCTTATTGCACCAATACCAGCACTAACTTTAGAGCAGATAGATTCAACGTGTGTTTCCCACGATAACCTTTCGTCAAGGTTCACACCAAGGCACGAATATTTATCCGTTCTTGGAATTGACTTATTATTAATTACAATGGGGTTACAAATTACTTTATTTTGAAGGTTATAGGAAGATCCAATAAACATATGTTTAGATTTGGTAGGATGCGTTACAAGCTTGTTTTGTTGCATCCATTTTGATAAATTTTCAAGATCAATATTTACTTTATTAATAAGGTCAATGCAGTCATTAGAAGATGCACAGATTACCGTATCATCAGCATAGAGTGAGGGGATTGTATGAATCAGTGAATCAGGCATATCATTTATTTAAATAATATAAACAATAAAGGACCAAGTGTGGACCCCTGAGGGACTCCACATATTATCGTTTTTGGATTTGATAGTTTTCCATTAATCAGACATTGTTGAACTCTGTTATTCAGATATGATTCAAACCATTTCAATTGGGTTCCTGTTATTCCAAAAAAATTATGCATTTTATTGATCAGAATTTCATGATTTACGGAGTCAAATGCTTTTCTGATATCGAGAAAGACTACGCAATGATAGAAAACATGATAGAAAATTTGTGAGAGCATGATAGAAAATTTGTGTGTGTTGACGGTTTGGACGGTACGTGGTATGTGAGAAAAGAAGTATGAAAATATTTCTCTGCGCGTGGAAGCACTGTTATTTGTAGTCATAGCGACTCGCAACGGCCGTATATTTTCAAAGAATGAAAGTTTACCCTCATATTTTTGTGAAAAAATGGCAAAACTACGACAACGTTCTTACCTTTTTCTGGAAGGTTACTCAACTATAGTCAGTGTTATGGTAAATAATTTTAATTACTAATTGCCGTGAAATATAACATCAGACGTCTCATACAACTTCAAAAGTTTTACGTTACGCCTCGACTGGTTTTTGCACGCGAATATTTTGATTTGATTTGTCATTATGAAAACGGAGTTTATAAATCAAATTATAATGTCATCTATCTCTTTAATTATAATGTCATCTATCTCACTAACACATTCAGATTTATAGTGAAATACATTTGAGAAATTAGTCTTGTTAACTTTGTTAAACCCTAACAAGTCCTGACCACATTCGATATATATATATATATATATATATATATATATTAATATATATATATATATATATATATATATATATATATATTCCATGAAATATGAATTTATAAATTTCATCAAAATTTTGCGAAATGACAGTTACACAATCAATTATGCGCGTTAGAAAATACAAATTTTTGTCTCAACCAATCAAGAGCTTAGTACTGGTGCATGCGCATGACGTAGAGGACCTTCCATGGTGTGAGGTCTATTGCACATATTCGTGTTTAATTAATCGTGGAAAAAATGCAATTTTCACCTAATTTTCAACGAACCCGCATCATCTCATTTTTCCTCATATGGTACGAAGGTCATATCATTCAACAGGGAAAAGCAATCTGCAGACATGCATGGTTCGGCGTTCAACGCCTCTTCAGTGCAGCTAGGTACATCTATATATACACATGGTGACGACGACCGTATTACGCACGTGCGTTTGCTCTCAGCAACCGCACGTGTTTCAACATGGAAGCATCAAAATTTACAGTCAAAATTGTAGCAAGGTTTCAGAAACTTATAGAGGAATGAACTCGGACGAATTCGATTTCCCGTAATCTAAAAACTAAGTTCCGGGTTTTAAATGCATGCGGCGAAATTAAACGCGATTCAAATTTCAGAAGAATGATGATCCCAAATAAGTTTCGTGCCAACTTTTCCAAACTACAAGGGCCGGTTGTATGAAAGCCGGACGGCGCTAACCACCGAATAGTGGGTTTTTCAACCGTTCTAAACATGCTCGAAGGGCAATAGAATTTCAGCTTCGTAACCAACAATTATTAAAGATGATCCTGAATTAAGGAATACTAAGATTTAATCAAAGTTATACCTAAAAAACGGGCGATTTTATAGCAATTAAAAAAAATACTATCTGGGGCCGGTTGTATGAAAGCCGGATAGCGGTATCCACCGGATAGTGGTTTTTTCAATCGTTTCAAAATCGCCCGTTATTTGCTACAACTTTGATTAAATCTTAGTACTCCTAAATCGAAGATCCTCTTTAATAATTGTTGCTTCCAAGCTGAAATTTTATCGCTTTTCGAGCATTTTTAGAACGGTTGAAAAAATCACTATCTGGTGGATAGCGCCATCCGGCTTTGATACAACCGGCCCCTGGTGGATAGCGCTATTCGGTTTTCATAAAACCGACCCCAGATTGATAACTTGCACTATACACGCGTGCAAGGACTACTTCCAGTGTAAAATGGGTGAAATGGTATTATTCGTCCGAACGAGGCTTAATCTGTGTATCCTTACGACCCCACACTGATTACTGGTGTTATATTGATATGCATGGACATACTCTATCAAATATGCCAATGAAACATGCAGAAAGAAAAAAAAATGATGAAAGTCCGGCGATCAAGTTAAAAAAATATATCGCACAAACCCCAAGATGAGTCAATCCCGTTTTAAATCACCAAATTCTTGCGCTCATAGCGACGCGCGGTGTATTTTTCTCATTTTTAGATGACCGGAAGTTTATCCGTGATTTTCTTTTATAGAGATAGGGCCCAGATATATATAGCGCATTATAACCACTGTTCAATGCATTGTTCAGCGAATCTCTATAACTCGTGCGATAGGCTTACCTATAATTCCATAACTTACTAAAATACTTCAATAAAAAGAAAGAAATACTGTGATTATCATTATCACATGGTTAGGATTTGCATGCCTTTTACCATAACTTTTAAACTTGGATTAATGTCTCTTTTTTAGTTCCCTTGTATTGGCTGACGCCACCAGAGGAGACATTGTTCGCTATTTTCTCGACAAAGACACAAATGAAGTTGTTTACCATAACGACACATCACCAAAATACCTGATAGTTGATCCTCAGTATGAAGTTATTTATTGGATTGATTATATCGATGCTAGTGATAGGTATTCTCTTATGAAGACATATTTCAATGGTTCAACGTCTGAAGTCAAGTTCTACCCTGGTACAACAAGTTCAGTGAACGTTGCAAAAGGGAAAGATAATTTATATGCAATGGATAGCACAAGGAAACGTATAGATGTGTTTGACAGACGCACTGCTACTTTCCAAGTTTCATTTTTTCTTAGTGATTCACCACAAGAAATAACTGTTGTTGAAGGTGAGTGAAACTTCAAAGAAACTGCATTCATAAAAATAATCATTACCAAGAAAAGGGTTAAAAGGCGGCAGGTTCATTTGGTATATAAACACGGAAAAATCATAGCTCCATTAGCTGTGCTGTGTCGTCTAGGCCATTTACACTACAGTCAATTTGAATAGAGTTCAGGCTACTAATGCAAAGGCCGCGAGCGCGGATGAAATGTGTACTTATCGATAAATCGAGTGTAGCGTAAATGGGGTCGTATGCAATTGAATTTTTTTTGCTGCTAAATATAAAGCACCAATACAGAATAAAGAACATAATATTTTAACTTATTATATACACAAGCGCCAGATATGAGGTATGCTGCAGTTTCATTGGTGGGCTACAAGACAGATATTAGCTCATATCTGTCTAGTACTCTAGTAGAGAAAGTAAACAAAATGGCTGAAAGATTTGGGGAGTTGAGTGAAATAGAAATCCAAGCTTTAGTTGATAATAGCGCACCAAAATGCACTGAATTAAAGGGCGACGAAGTTTGTGTCGGTGAAGTATTGTGTTTTGATGTGCAAATATTGAAAAAAAAAATCGAGTAAGTGTTTTGGAAAGTAATAACTGTATAAATTATAAGCCTTGTATGATCCAAATAAAAATCCGTAACTCGATCCTCAACAAGTTTAGAAGGAAGAATAAATTCTTGAATGACGCACCTCACAACTTATTTTTTCAGATTTGGATGAATGTTGTGTTGGTGGATATTGTCATGATAATGCAACGTGTACAAACACACCAGGAAGTTACTTCTGCTCATGCAAGGAAGGCTATACTGGGATAGGAACTAATTGTGAAGGTACTCAGAGATTTTGTGTAATTTGTTAGCAAAAAAAACACAAAGCATGACAAGCCAGAACGTTGTGAAACTCGAAATTGGGAAAATAACGAAAATTTCATTACGATCAGCATGCAGCTATTGGGTAGTGCAGCATATGGCTAATGCAGTACTCTTTTTAAAACTCAAAATAAATAAACAATTTTTTTTAAATATAAAATATGTCCGTTCGGTTTCAAATAATATGGCAGACTAAAGCCCGCCACTAACGAGGGCTAAATTATAGCTCAGCTAATATAGCTTTCGTGCAGCTGTTAGCTCAATAGAATATTGGATCTGCCTATACGTACGATTTTGGTGTGCTGGGGCGAACTCATGAAGGGAGATATAAGTACTAAAGGCATGCAAGTGTATAGAAGACAGCATTGCTCCCTATAGCTGTACGTTATGAGAAATAGGCAGAAAGGTGAAGACAACAGAACGAATTCTCATCTGTCGTGTTCTTTCAATCATGCAGATGTAGTTCCGAAAAAAAATTATCACTTTTTTGGTAAGAACCAAAATTGCTCAGTATTTTATAAAAAAGCGTGGTTTTCAACATGGTCCATACATGGTTATATACTAGCTAAAAGGCTTCGCATTTAAAAATTTCTATATCAAATGGAATGATTATAATGTAACTAACGGAAAAGATGTATTGTAACCCTCGAAAACGTGCAACCAATTTGTGCTTTAAAGAGTAGTGTCTAGTGAATGGCAAAAAACAGTAATAAAAGTGAAGTTGTTATCCACCGTTCCGACGCTCAAACACTTTTCAAAAACACGTGATCAAATGACAAAAATTCGGAGAAACACATGCTCGGTTATACTATAGTTTATATGGAGTGGTTTATATGGATACTCTTTATATGTCTCAAGATGTAGAGGAAATACGATTTCGGCCGATTCTTACATTACAGTAGTGTTGTCTAATGCTCACGATTCGAAAATGGTGAGCAAAATGACATTGAACGAGCTAAAAACATACCTTCGAGCGCGGTGTTAGACTGTTAGCGTCACTTAAAACCTGCGTTGGTAAATATTGCAACTGCTGTTGAAAACATGATGCTGCAATTCGATCCAAATTTTGTGAAGAAAAAGAGTTCTCAAGATAACCATAAATTAATTACTCGTGATATGGAAATAGCTGATCCATTAACTTCCTCGTACAACTTGGTAAATGGCTTCGGTGATTCTCCTCCTTTTGGATTGTATGATACTTTTAATTACCTGATAAACCATTTTACAAACAGGGTCTCGCCGCCTACAAGTCGTTTGACGTGTATCGCGCATGTTATTTCAAATAATGGGTCATAAATTTGTGTAACCTTCTTTTTCCAGCTCAATCGTTTTTCCAAAAAAATTCAAACTACATAATATGTAACTATCCTTCTTAAAAACCGGCGAAGCTGTCATCGGCTAGTCGCGACAACACTTCCGTATCCAAGCTTCCCTTCGCTCCTTATGCTTTTTCTCCGAGGGAAAATGGTGTAATGTTACGTGTATACCTTCTGGCTTTCTAAAAAAACATTCTGGTTATCTGGAATCAGATTTGCAAGTGCCTCATGCGCATCTTTTTACCATTTTATTGTTGCGTCTCTATATAAACTATATCTCCGACCATGTGTTTGTCCGAATTTTTGTCATTTGATCACGTGTTTAATTTTTTGGAGATGGATTTAATTGCACAGGTAAGACAGGAAATAATTTTTAACAACAACGAAGTAAAAAAAAAGAAAAAAAATGAAAATGCTACAAATATTATTTCAGATTTAAATGAATGCTTAACATCTCCATCATGTCATTCAAATGCTACGTGCAATAACACAGATGGATCATATATTTGTACATGTTATTCTGGATATAAAGGAGACGGGTTCAACTGCACAGGTTATACAACGGAGATAATGTTTAATTTTTAACAAGTTTTTTGTAAAAAAAAATAAATGGAAAATAAAAATTTTGCGACTGTGATTTCAGATGTTGACGAATGTGTAGCATCTCCCCCATGTCATTCCAATGCTACGTGCAATAACACAGATGGATCTTATATTTGCACATGTGATTCTGGATATACTGGAGATGGATTCAACTGCACGGGTAAGACAACGGAAATAATATTACTACCAAGTGTTGAGTAAAAAAGAGGAAATGGGAAAGTAACAATGCTAAAAATGCATTTTCAGATTTTGACGAATGTCTAACATCTCCCCCATGTCATTCTAATGCTACGTGCAACAACACAGATGGATCTTATATTTGCACATGTAATACTGGATACACTGGAGATGGGTTTAATTGCACAGGTAAGACCACGAAATAAATTTTTTACCAAATGTTTAATAAAAAAACAGTAAATGGAAAAATAAAAATGCTACGACTTCCATTTCAGATGTTGACGAATGCGTAATATCTCCCCCATGTCATTCCAATGCTACGTGCAATGACACAGATGGATCATATATTTGTACATGTTATTCTGGATATACAGGAGACGGGTTCAACTGCTCAGGTTATACAACGGAGATAATGTTTAATTTTTAACATGTTTTTTATAAAAAAAAATAAATGGAAAATAAAAATTTTGCGACTGTCATTTCAGATGTTGACGAATGCGTAGTATCTCCCCCATGTCATTCCAATGCTACGTGCAATAACACAGATGGATCTTATATTTGCACATGTGATTCTGGATATACTGGAGATGGATTCAACTGCACGGGTAAGACAACGGAAATAATATTTCTACCAAGTGTTGCGAGAAAAAGAGGAAATGGGAAAGTAACCATGCTAAAAATGCCATTTCAGATTTTGACGAATGCGTAACATCTCCCCCATGTCATTCCAATGCTACGTGCAATAACACAGATGGATCTTATATCTGCACATGTAATATTGGATACACTGGAGATGGATTTAACTGCACAGGTAAGACCATGAAAATAAAATTTTTACCAAATGTTTAAGTAAAAAACAGTCATTGGAAAAATGAAAATGCTACGACTGCCATTTCAGATGTTGACGAATGCGTAGAATCTCCCCCATGTCATTCCAATGCTACGTGCAATGACACAAATGGATCATATATTTGTACATGTTATTCTGGATATAAAGGAGACGGGTTCAACTGCACAGGTTATACAACGGAGATAATGTTTAATTTTTAACATGTTTAAAAAAATAAATGGAAAATAAAAATTTTGCGACTGTCATTTCAGATGTTGACGAATGCTTAGTGTCTCCCCCATGTCATTCCAATGCTACGTGCAATAACACAGATGGATCTTATATTTGCACATGTAATTCTGGATATACTGGAGATGGATTCAATTGCACGGGTAAGAAAACGCAAATACTATTTTTGCCAAGTGTTGAGTAAGAAAGAGGAAATGGAAAAGTAACAATGGTAAAAATGCCATTTCAGATGTTGACGAATGCGTAATATCTCCCCCATGTCATTCCAATGCTACGTGCAATGACACAGATGGATCATATATTTGTACCTGTTATTCTGGATATACAGGAGACGGGTTCAACTGCTCAGGTTATACAACGGAGATAATGTTTAATTTTTAACATGTTTTTTATAAAAAAAAATAAATGGAAAATAAAAATTTTGCAACTGTCATTTCAGATGTTGACGAATGCGTAGTATCTCCCCCATGTCATTCCAATGCTACGTGCAACAACACAGATGGATCTTATACTTGCACATGTGATTCTGGATATACTGGAGATGGATTCAACTGCACTGGTAAGACAACGCAAATAATATTTCTGCCAATTGTTGAGAAAAAAAGAGGAAATGGAAAAGTAACAATGCTAAAAATGCCATTTCAGATGTTGACGAATGCGTAACATCTCCCCCATGTCATTCCTATGCTACGTGCAATAACACAGATGGATCTTATATTTGCACATGTGATTCTGGATATACTGGAGATGGATTCAACTGCATGGGTAAGACAACGGAAATAATATTTCTACCAAGTGTTGAGAAAAAAAGAGGAAATGGAAAAGTAACAATGCTAAAAATGCCATTTCAGATGTTGACGAATGCTTAATATCTCTCCCATGTCATTCCAATGCTACGTGCAAAGACACAGATGGATCATATATTTGTACATGTTATTCTGGATATACAGGAGACGGGTTCAACTGCACAGGTTATACAACGGAGATAATGTTTAATTTTTAACATGTTTTTTTATAAAAAAAAATAAATGGAACATGAAAATTTTGCGACTGCCATTTCAGATGTTAACGAATGCGTAGTATCTCCCCCATGTCATTCCAATGCTACGTGCAATGACACAGATGGATCATATATTTGTACATGTTATTCTGGATATACAGGAGACGGGTTCAACTGCACAGGTTATACAACGGAGATAATGTTTAATTTTTAACATGTTTAAAAAAATAAATGGAAAATAAAAATTTTGCGACTGTCATTTCAGATGTTGACGAATGCTTAGTATCTCCCCAATGTCATTCCAATGCTACGTGCAATAACACAGATGGATCTTATATTTGCACATGTAATTCTGGATATACTGGAGATGGATTCAATTGCACGGGTAAGAAAACGCAAATAATATTTCTGCCAAGTGTTGAGTAAGAAAGAGGAAATGGAAAAGTAACAATGGTAAAAATGCCATTTCAGATGTTGACGAATGCGTAACATCTCCCCCATGTCATTCCAATGCTACGTGCAATAACACAGATGGATCTTATATCTGCACATGTAATACTGGATACACTGGAGATGTATTTAACTGCACAGGTAAGACCACGAAAATAAAAGTTTTACCAAATGTTTCAGTAAAAAACAGTAAATGGAAAAATGAAATTGCTACGACTGCTATTGCAGATGTTCACGAATGCGTAGAATCTCCCCCATGTCATTCCAATGCTACGTGCAATAACACAAATGGATCTTATATCTGCACATGTAATACTGGGTACACAGGAGACGCTTTTAACTGCACACGTTATGCAACAGAGATAATATTTTTTAGAAATTTTTCAGTAAAAAACAATAAAAAAAAAAATGATACAACTGCTATTTCAGATGTTGACGAATGCGTAACATCTCCCCCATGTCATTCCAATGCTACGTGCAATAACACAGATGGATCTTATATTTGCACATGCGGTGATTCTGGATATACTGGAGATGGATTCAATTGCACGGGTAAGACAACGCAAACAATATTTCTGCCAAGTGTTGAGTAAGAAAGAGGAAATGGAAAAGTAACAATGCTAATAATGCCATTTCAGATGTTGACGAATGCGTAACATCTCCCCCATGTCATACGAATGCTACGTGCAATAACACTGACGGATCTTATACTTGCACGTGCAATCCTGGATATACAGGAGATGGAGTAAATTGCACGGGTAAGACAAGGTAAATAATATTTCTGCTAAGTGTTTAGTAAAGAAGAGGAAGTAGAAAAATAAAAATCCCTCAACTGTAATTTCAGATGTTGACGAATGCCTGACATCTCCCCCATGTCATTCCAATGCTACGTGCAATAACACAGATGGATTCTATGTTTGCACATGTAATTCTGGATATACTGGAGATGGATTCAATTGCACGGGTAAGAAAACGCAAATAATATTTCTGCCAAGTGTTGAGTAAGAAAGAGGAAATGGAAAAGTAACAATGGTAAAAATGCCATTTCAGATGTTGACGAATGCGTAACATCTCCCCCATGTCATTCTAATGCTACGTGCAACAACACAGATGGATCTTATATTTGCACATGTTATACTGGATACACTGGAGATGGGTTTAATTGCACAGGTAAGACCACGAAAATAATTTTTTTACCAAATGTTTAATAAAAAAACAGTAAATGGAAAAATGAAAATGCTACGACTTCCATTTCAGATGTTGACGAATGCGTAATATCTCCCCCATGTCATTCCAATGCTACGTGCAATGACACAGATGGATCATATATTTGTACATGTTATTCTGGATATACAGGAGACGGGTTCAACTGCTCAGGTTATACAAGGGAGATAATGTTTAATTTTTAACATGTTTTTTATAAAAAAAAATAAATGGAAAATAAAAATTTTGCGACTGTCATTTCAGATGTTGACGAATGCGTAGTATCTCCCCCATGTCATTCCAATGCTACGTGCAATAACACAGATGGATTTTATATTTGCACATGTTATTCTGGATATACTGGAGATGGATTCAACTGCACGGGTAAGACAACGGAAATAATATTTCTACCAAGTGTTTAGAGAAAAAGAGGAAATGGGAAAGTAACCATGCTAAAAATTCCATTTCAGATGTTGACGAATGCCTAACATCTCCCCCATGTCATTCCAATAATACGTGCAATAACACAGATGGATCTTATATCTGCACATGTAATACTGGATACACTGGAGATGGATTTAACTGCACAGGTAAGACATTGAAAATAAATTTTTTACCAAATGTTTAAGTAAAAAACAGTAAATGGAAAAATGAAAATGCTACGACTTCCATTTCAGATGTTGACGAATGCGTAATATCTCTCCCATGTCATTCCAATGCTACGTGCAATGACACAGATGGATCATATATTTGTACATGTTATTCTGGATATACAGGAGACGGGTTCAACTGCACAGGTTATACAACGGAGATAATGTTTAATTTTTAACATGTTTTTTTATAAAAAAAAATAAATGGAAAATAAAAATTTTGCGACTGCCATTTCAGATGTTGACGAATGCGTAGTATCTCCCCCATGTCATTCCAATGCTACGTGCAACAACACAGATGGATCTTATACTTGCACATGTGATTCTGGATATACTGGAGATGGATTCAATTGCACGGGTAAGAAAACGCAAATAATATTTCTGCCAAGTGTTGAGTAAGAAAGAGGAAATGGAAAAGTAACAATGGTAAAAATGCCATTTCAGATGTTGACGAATGCGTAACATCTCCCCCATGTCATTCTAATGCTACGTGCAACAACACAGATGGATCTTATATTTGCACATGTAATACTGGATACACTGGAGATGGGTTTAATTGCACAGGTAAGACCACGAAAATAATTTTTTTACTTAATGTTTAATAAAAAAACAGTAAATGAAAAAATGAAAATGCTACGACTTCCATTTCAGATGTTGACGAATGCGTAATATCTCCCCCATGTCATTCCAATGCTTCGTGCAATGACACAGATGGATCATATATTTGTACATGTTATTCTGGATATACAGGAGACGGGTTCAACTGCTCAGGTTATACAAGGGAGATAATGTTTAATTTTTAACATGTTTTTTATAAAAAAAAATAAATGGAAAATAAAAATTTTGCGACTGTCATTTTAGATGTTGACGAATGCGTAGTATCTCCCCCATGTCATTCCAATGCTACGTGCAATAACACAGATGGATTTTATATTTGCACATGTTATTCTGGATATACTGGAGATGGATTCAACTGCACGGGTAAGACAACGGAAATAATATTTCTACCGAGTGTTTAGAGAAAAAGAGGAAATGGGAAAGTAACCATGCTAAAAATTCCATTTCAGATGTTGACGAATGCCTAACATCTCCCCCATGTCATTCCAATGCTACGTGCAATAACACAGATGGATCTTATATCTGCACATGTAATACTGGATACACTGGAGATGGATTTAACTGCACAGGTAAGACATTGAAAATAAATTTTTTACCAAATGTTTAATAAAAAAAACAGTAAATGGAAAAATGAAAATGCTACGACTTCCATTTCAGATGTTGACGAATGCGTAATATCTCTCCCATGTCATTCCAATGCTACGTGCAATGACACAGATGGATCATATATTTGTACATGTTATTCTGGATATACAGGAGACGGGTTCAACTGCACAGGTTATACAACGGAGATAATGTTTAATTTTTAACATGTTTTTTTATAAAAAAAAATAAATGGAAAATAAAAATTTTGCGACTGCCATTTCAGATGTTGACGAATGCGTAGTATCTCCCCCATGTCATTCCAATGCTACGTGCAACAACACATATGGATCTTATACTTGCACATGTGATTCTGGATATACTGGAGATGGATTCAATTGCACGGGTAAGACAATGCAAATAATATTTCTGCCAAGTGTTGAGAAAAAAAGAGGAAATGGAAAAGTAACAATGCTAAAAATGCCATTTCAGATTTTGACGAATGCGTAACATCTCCCCCATGTCATTCCAATGCTACGTGCAATAACACAGATGGATCTTATATCTGCACATGTAATACTGGATACACTGGAGATGTATTTAACTGCACAGGTAAGACCACGAAAATAAAAGTTTTACCAAATGTTTCAGTAAAAAACAGTAAATGGAAAAATGAAATTGCTACGACTGCTATTTCAGATGTTGACGAATGCGTAGAATCTCCCCCATGTCATTCCAATGCTACGTGCAATAACACAGATGGATCTTATATCTGCACATGTAATACTGGGTACACAGGAGACGTGTTTAACTGCACACGTTATGCAACAGAGATAATATTTTTCTAGAAATTTTTCAGTAAAAAACAATAAAAAATAAAAATGATACAACTGCTATTTCAGATGTTGACGAATGCGTAACATCTCCCCCATGTCATTCCAATGCTACGTGCAATAACACAGATGGATCTTA